TGTCAATTCTCAAAGCTAATTACTGATTGGCTTTTTGTCAGACATGGAAGAAACTGCTAGCAGCTTCTCTTAGGATGTTGTAGTGCGTTCTTATATTTTGTAATACTTTGAAGTAGTTTGTTTCGTATTCCCATATTTTTCCCAAATGGTTTATCCCAGACTGTACCCCCCCCCCCTTCCTTTTACTTGTGTTATCCCTTTCCCGGGATGAGATCAACTCAAAACCCCCACCCTGGCTCTCTGTCAATCACTCGGCATCCCAGCCCCCTATCCAGAAGTTTCGGTCCAAGTTGTCGAGTGATTAGCCAGAGGCTAGGGGTCAGCCCCCCAAGTCCTGCCCCATACGCTGTTTTGTATGTCTATTCCCCCAGCACCCATCCCCCAGAGATACCTATTGGTCAGTAGGATGTTATCTACTTTTGGTTTCCTCCTCCCTTTAAATGTGACCTCCGGACATCCCCCGGGGCTCTCGGCAGGAAGCCCCCTGAGGTGCAGGAGCTCCTTCGGGACTCCTTAATAAAACCTTGGAATATCCCCTGCTGGGAGTCGGCCCCTTCTCTTTTACCAATGTCTCTGCCGTCTCTGCTGCAGCGAAGGCAACCAGCCTGAGTGCCCTCAGCACCCTCGGGGCACAGAGAGTGTCTCCCCGCAGTCGGCCGTGTTGGGGCTGCACCCCCCATTCTCTGCCGACTCGGGTCTGGCCCAGGGACTTTGAGAGGCCTGCAGAGAGACTGAGACAGCTTGGCGCCCAGGCGTGCGGCTCTGAGACCATCCCCGGAGCCCACGGAAAGGGGCTCGGACATTCTTCCAGACTGTTCGTTAAGCCTTTGGCCGGCAAGCTACCTCAGAAGAACACACTCCGTTTTAGTGAGTTGCTCTCCTGTGGACGAAACTGGGAGCTTTTGATGTACCCTCAAAAGTCAGTTTCAGGTGCAACGCACCATCCCAGGATTTTCCGTTTCCCTGTCCTGCAGCTGGATTGGTAAGTTTTTCCTTTCTCTTGTTTCTCCCCTCTTTGGGAGGGGGGTGTTTCCCTGCCTTTTGTTCTCAGGCCCGCCGCGGAGGGCCGAGGTTTTTTTTTTTTCTCTCTATTTTTGGCAGGCTGCCAGCCGCAGGCTTTTTTTCCTCCCCCCCCCCCCCCCACCTGGGTTGGTGAAATTTGAGATACAAAATTTAAAATCATAGCCAAAATGGGTGCTAGGCTTTCTGTATCTCACAAGGGTGTCTATTATCATCTTTTGAACATTCTTAAGAGTGAAAAAATCCGATTTTCAAAAACAGATGTTAAACAATTTGTTAGATGGCTTTTTCTTCATTTTCCCGATGTATCAACTGAAAATAATAGTGATTTGGCTTTTTGGGACAAAATTGGTAATGAGTTATTGAAAGCAGGGAAATCAGGAGACACCTCTCTGACAAAATTTGCTTTTTTAGCCCTGCAGATAAGAAATGTTGTAAAATTTAATTTAAAGATGCAGGAAAAGCCATCCGGGAACAGTTTCAACACCTCTGTTTCCCAAAAACCCAATCTACCCCCTCCAAGTTATGTTCTCCCTCTCCGAACCCTTTTTCCCCACCCCCAGCTCCGGCACAGGACATTCTGAAGAAAGCCACACTCCCTAGCTCCCCTCAGAAGCTCCCTGTCTCCAACCCGGACACTTCTGGCCTGTCTTCCCGGGACCCTACCCCTTCCCCTGCTTCCCCAAGTTGTAATACCGTGTCCCACAACCTTAGTGCCCGCCTTTGTACCCCCGATCCGCGTCAGGTAACTCCCCCGGACCATAATGGTGGACACCACGTGGCCATGTCGGCTCTTTCTTCTTCCCATAATCCTTTTCGCTCTCCCAACAACCCATTCTGCTCGGAACACCCCGCCCCCGAAACCCGCCCTCCCTGTGCCCTCCCCCCGCCCCCTCCTCCCGCCCCGGCCCCGGCCCCCCCTCCTGCTCCGGCCCCGCCCCCCCCGCCCCCTCAGAGCTCTGCCCGCCCGCCACGGCCTCCCTCCGCCCCTCCCACGGCCCGCCCTCCGGCTCCCAGGGCAGTGTAACCAGAGATGCTGCACTCGGGAGACAGAAGCCGGAAACAGCACAGGTCCTTTCTGCAGCTCCGGTGTCATATATCTCTGATTTAAACGGGGCGTTCCAGCCAAATTATAGCCCCCTTTCTGTTGATTCTGTCAAAGAACTGGCCAAAGCCCAAAAAGATTTTGGGAGATCAAGTGAATATTTTAGAGGACTCCTTAAAGCTACATTGTTTGCTAACATTTTAACCCCTGCTGATATCAAATACCTTTTTTCCTGCCTGTTATCCTCTTCTGAATATCTCTTGTGGGATGCAGCATGGAAAAAAGGATTGAGAGCAATTTTACCAGCTCTGTGGGCTGATGAAGCTACTGCTCGTGATGTTTATGGTAACGTGCTATCTCTCGACCACCTCTGTGGACAGGGAGGTTGGGAGGATGGGGCAAGTCAGGCAGAGGGCAGTCCCACAAGGGCTTTCA